TTAAAAAGAGATGTTCTGAACTTTGTATCAGACGAGGTTTTAAATTTTTATTTATTAAGAAACAGTCTCTGGTAAATGTGAAATTTCATATGGTATATATTTAACTACAATTGGGAAACCTGGTCTGTGAGAAGCATTAGAAAAGTTTACAAAGGAGTCCTCTGACGTTTCTAGGAATCTAGTGTAAGAAGTGGGTTGTTTTTATTTTTCTGAATGGGAGAGGTTTCAGTAAAAGACACCTTAATGTGAAAAAGAACAAGAGGGAAGTATTTTTAGCATCTTTAGGACACAAGGGAAAGATGTAATAAACCAGAAGAGACTTTGAAAATGCCAACACTGCAAAACTTTGACAGCAGTTAAAATGTTTGGAATGATGGCCTTAGGGAGAAATAGTCATCCAAGGGCAAACCTAAGTAAGGAGGCATCCAGGTGGAAAAATTTAAATGACAATATTTGAAAATACGTTAAAAGCCTTCAATGAAGTCTAAAGTGAAGAAAAAGTGGCTACAACAACATATTCCTAGGGTTCAGGTCCCCCAAATGGGTTTGAGCCACAGATACAACATAGGGCACCGTACATCAATTGAGAGCTCTACTTGTACATTTTTTGTTTTTCACTTTATTTATTTACTGCAGTGCTGAGGGATGAACCAAGGGCCTAAATCATGTGAAGCAAATCATTGACTTTACCACCAGCTGAGGCCCCATTTTAAGAGGCCATCTGTTACCATACAGGCACACCTAGCACATGACTTTCTAAAATATCACAATACACATGTGCCTTTTCTGCAGAAGCAAAGTATTTTTTTTATAAACATCTTCAATTTTTAAAATAAAGTTCTTCTCTGATTTAATTGGTTAATAATGTATATATGTGGGTTTGTACATGTGAGTGCAATACCTGTGGAGGCCAGAGAGGCATCAGATCCTCTGGGACAGGAAGTTACAGGAGTTACAGGAAGTTGTGAGGTTCCTGACACAGATGCTGGTTATAGAACTCAGATCCTCTGCAAGAGCAGTACATGATCTTAACAGCTGAGTCACCCATCTCTCCAACCCTGTTTTCACCCACACATCCATGTAGACCAGGCTAGCCTCACACTAACAGAGAACCACTGCCTCTGCCTCCCCAGCACTGGGATTAAGGTTTCTCAGGTTTTCTTACATTTTGGACTTCACACCTCTTTGCTGACCCTCAACAGCTCTGATGGTACCTATAAACCATCCTTTTGTGACACTTCCATCATAGAAACTGGATCAACTAATACCACTTCTAAGAAGATAATGAAGATATTACCAATTAATTCCTTTTTAAGATTTTTATTTTTAATTATGTGTATGTATGTATATCTGTGTGTGGGTTTGTACACGTGAGTGCAGGTGCCTGTGGAGCTGAAGTTATAGGTAATGAATGGTAAGCCACCCAACATGGGTGCTGGGAACCAAACCTGGGCCCTCTGCAAGAGCAGTAAGCACTCTTAATTGCTGAGCTGTCTCTCTGGTCCCCTAATCATCCCTTTTAAATTAATATATTTTTTTTTGCTCATAGGGATTTGCAGTAACTTTTACTACAGCCTGCCTATGGAAGTCCTAGGATTGCACTACCTGTGACTGTGTGTTTCAACAGTATGATCTGTCATAGGGCTGACTTTCACAGGAGAGCTTTTCAAAGACAGGATCTTTTCTACCAATGGGATTCAGGAGGAGAATTGTATAAGGATGTCCGTGTGGTTAATTCTCTCTCAAGTACAAAGAAATGACAACCAAGAAAGACAGTTACTCAGGGCTTTTCCTCTTTTCTTTTACAGGCTTTGCTCACAATCCAGTTAAGATACTTTATCTCCTTCCACAATGCCCTCTCCCTGACTCCCGCCTAGATAGGGTCTGACCTAGCCCACTAGGCTGGCCTGGAATTAGAAGTTAATTTTTTTCTTTTTTATATGTATTTATTTATTTAGTGTCTGAATGTGGTACTGGGAATTGAATTCGGGGCCAAGTGCTCCACCACTGAGTTATACCCTAGACCCTCTTTTTTTTTTTTTTTTTTTTGTCTTTTTGAGACAGGGTCCTGGAACTCACTATGTAGACCAGGCTGGCCTTGAACTCACAGAGATCCGCCTGCCTCTGCCTCCTGAGTGCTGGGATTAAAGATGTGCGCTACCACGCCCGGCTAGACCCTCACTTTTAAATTAAAAAAAAAAACAAACAACGATTTATTTCTATTTTATGTGTATGAGTATTTTGCCTACATGTACGTTAAGTGCACCATGTTGTGCCATGCCCTTGGAGACTAGAAGAGGCACTGGCTCCCCTGGAACTGGTTGTTAGCCACCATGAGGGTGCTGGGAACCAAACCTGGGTCCTCTACAAGAACAAGTGTTCTTAACTCCTGAACTATCTTTGTGTGTGTGTGTGTGTGTGTGTGTGTGTGTGTGTGTGTGTGTTCACATTGCCATGCCACCATGTGGGTGCCAATAATCAAACTGAGATCATCAGGCTTACACAGAAAGTGCTTTTATCTGCTGAATCATCTCACTGGCCCTTGTCTTAAACTCATTATGTGGTTGAGGATGACCCTGAACTCCTGATTTTCCTACCTCCAACTCCCAAATGCTGGAATTACAGGCCTGTGCCAACCTACTTGGCTTTTTTTTTTTTTTTTGTCCTTTTGAGACAGGGTCTCCTTGTAGCCCCAGCTGTCCTGGAACTCACTATGTAGACCAGGCTGGCCTTGAACTCACAGAGATCCGCCTGCCTCTGCCTCCCAAGTGCTGGGATTAAAGGTTTGTGCCACCATGCCTGGCCTACTTGGCTCTTTAACAAACAAAGCAATCAACGCAGGCAGATTACAGTTCCCCAAGAATACTTTGATCTTTGTCATGAACACACTGGAAAATGTTCGCAAAAGGTATATATATCAAATGGCTAACTTTTCATTTTTTTTCATGAAAATTATATTTCTTAAAGAAGAAAATTATGTTGCTTGTTTTTCTTCTTTCCCTGAATCTCCCAACATGACTGTTTGAGACACATGCTTTAATGCTAAGCTCCACAGTCCACATGACATTAATGAGTTCTGTACATTTCCATTTTCCAGGTTTTGAGCTGGAATTCATCAGTGAGTACTGTGACATGTCACCTATGATCAGGTCAAGCCAAAGGAGGAGCGCAAGTAGCTCCCAATCTTCTACTGGTTGGTTATCACATTAAACAACAAAACAAAACCTGGGGCTAGAGAGATGGCTCAGCAGTTAACAGAATTTGCTGCTCTTGCAGAAGACCTGGATTTGGTTCCCACATGGTGGCTAATGCCCTTCCCTAACTCCAGTTCCAGGGTATTCAACATTGTCTTCTGGCCTCTGTGAGCACTGCATGCATGTGGTACCTTTACATACATGCAGAGAAAATACTTACATACATTTAAAAAAAATTACACCCCCCCCCCAAATAAACCACACTAATAAGCTAGTCTGGTGTGATGGTGCACACCTGTAATCCCAGCACTTGGGAGGTAGAGGCAGGAGAATCAGGGGTTCAAGGAAAGCCTCACCTACATAATGAGTTCACAACTAGCTTGAGTTATAAGAGACCATGTCTCAAAACAAAAAACAAGTGGCTGGTGTGGTAGTGCACGCCCTTAATCCTAATTTGGGAGGCAGAGGCATGCATATCTCTGTTCTGAGTTCAAGGGAAGGCTGGTCTACATAGCAAGTTCCAGGTCAGCCAAGGCTACAAAGCAAGACCATGTCTTAAAAAACAGACAAGTGGGCTGGAGAGATGGCTCAGTGGTTAAGAACACTGGCTATTCTTACAGAAGACCCAGGTTTGAATCCCAGAACCCATATGGCAGCTAACAACTGTCCGTAACTCCAGTCCACGGGCACTGCACGACACGGGTGCTCTTACATACATGCAGACAATATACTCAGTTCCAGGGGATCCGAAAGCCTCTTCTGTCCTCTGTGGGCATTGCATGACATGGGTGCACTTACCTACGTGCTGGCAATACATGCATACACATAAAATTAAATAAATAAATAAAATATTTTTTAAAAATTAAGAAAAAAACCACAAAAAAACAGACAAAAAAGCTAAGAGGCAGCTATACCTGAACCCCTGATTTCATATTCCAGACTGCACTAATCAATGTTACATATAATTAAACTGAATGATGGAGAAACAGCCCAGTGACTAGAAGCTAGTTTTCTAATTCCAGAAGACAGGAGACCTTCACTTATCTGATGCCCTTTAGCAAGAATCAGTTCACAAGGAGCTCATTCCACTTTGATCAACTTCCAGAAAGGTAGTTTCAGACACACTGACTATGGAAAACAGAAGGATGATGGGAAAATAGATGCAATGACTGATGTGATGACACAGGAGGACATAAACATGCCTTGATGCCGAAGGCTCCAAGGGCATTCATACATTATTTACAAACATAACTTCCTTTGCAGGTGGAGCACCTGGGATTCAAAAAAAAAGCAAAAACAAAGGGCAAAAGACAAGAGTTAGAACTTGGAAGTCTTCCTCCCTTCAACTTCTAAGAGGACCTGACACCAATCACGTGGTCAGATGGACATATTTTCAGTAATTCTAAGAAAACCTTTCATTATTATCACTATTTTATTTATGTTTATGTGTATGTTTTGCCTACATTTATGTGAGGGTGTCATATATATGCCTGGTGGCCACGGAGGCCAGAAGAGGGCATCTGATACTCTGGAACCGGAGTTGAGAAGAGCTGTTAGCCACTATGTGGGTGTTGGAAACTGAACCCTGGTCCTCTGGAAGAGCAAGCAGTAAGTGATCTTAGCCACTGAGCCACTTCTCTAGCCTCTGTTATTATTACTATTATTTTATTGCATTTATGTTTTTTTTTTCTGGTCTTTTTTAGACAGGGTCTCCCTGTAGCCCCAGCTGTCCTGGAACTCACTATGTAGACCAGGCTGGCCTTGAACTCACAGAGCTCCACCTGCCTCTGCCTCCCGAGTGCTGGGATTAAAGGCCTGTGCTACCATGCTCAGCTACAATTATTTTTTTATTTATATCATATGGGTCCTGGGGCTCAAACCAGGTCATCAGACTTAACCATCTTGCCAGCCCATCCTCACCATCTTTTACTCGACTTTATTAGAACACATTCAATCATCTGAGTGGTGAGGATATGGCTGGGTGGTGCTATAGTGCTTGCCTAGCATACATTTGGCCCTGGGTTCAAATTCAGTACCACAAAGCAAAACAAAACAGAAACCCCACACAAACAACCACAACCACATAGTACGGTTGTTCTCTTAGAAGCTCAAGTTTCCATCAGAAGAGAACCAGTTTTTGCAACACCAAAATCTAAAAGAACTTTCATCAATGGCACCCAGCAGAAGGGGAAAAAAAATGAAAAGACTCTCTTGAGTTAGAAAGTTACTAGTCTTAAATGAAAGATGTTACCTTCCCAAAACAAGAGAAAAGGTTGACTAGTTGTTCAAGTCAGAAACCCAGGGTTGAGGTTTCCAAGGCCCTTTTTATTAGGGGAAGGTTCCCTTTAGAGCACATGACTTCACATATATTGACAACAATGAGATCTGTTCCTAAAAACTGGAGGGGCAGAAGGGGAAAAACAAAACAGATGTACATTTAATATATATATATATATATATATATATATGTATCTGCTTTACATAAATTAAAAGAATTTATAAAATGGTCACCTTTCTTACAGAATAAATGCAGACTGAATTATGAATGCACCTCCAAGTTTAAGTTGTTTGAGTTGTTCTTGCTTCCAATAATAAATAAATAAAATTTGTTAGAAGGTTTGGGATCCATCTGCTGCAGGACTCTGAATCATCACTGGACTTTTTTTCCTTGGTCGCTCTTTCGCACATTTGTGGGCGCTGGGTTTACCAATCTCACTGGCCTGTCAGGACGCCCATTATCTTTTCGGGGTGGCATTCTCTCATTAATTCGGTCTAGACCTCGAGCTTCTTCAAAACTTCGGATCTTGTGCGGAAGTGAAAACCCTCTGATGGCTACAGAGAAGCAGCAAAGTGGGTGGAGAGAGCTCAGTCAGCAAAATTAACAGCTTAAATCAAGTTTCCCAGTACACAGCAACCTCTTAACACACAGAAAGTTGGCTAGAGAACACATATCTGATGACAGGCAACATGTGATTAAACCAACCTTGTCTACAACTACTATTTCTATACAGCCCAAAGGCCAGTAGAAAACGAAATGTCCACAAAAGCTCCGTGTGACAGAAATACACTTGACAAAACAGAGATAAGTTCTTAGCCTCCATATATTTGAAATAATGTTTCTTATGGGTCAGAAATGTGCTCAATGCTAGAAAAAGGCAACACCAGGAGAAAGAGAACACAGAGTAGTTGCTTTAAGCACAAATATCACACTAAGCACGGGGAAGTAACAAGAGAGCTGATCTCTTAAGATAGCTTTTTATCTTGTACAACCAGGAGTTGATCATAAGATAAAAACCATCAACACAGCTTCTAGATTGTTTCCTTCTGACTCAACTTTGGATATTCTTGTGGTATTTGGGACTGAACCCTAGGCTCGCAGACCCAGGGCAAACATTCTGCCACTGAGCTATAATCCCAGCCTGATTCAATTTTGTACTGACCATCTTATCTAATGAAATAACTAGTCAGTTTTATAAATTCTGATGACTTTCATCTAAAACTTTGGAAGTAGTAGTACTTAAAATATGGCTCCACAGAAACAGATACCTTAGCTTGAATGCTTTAGGTCAACTTCAGAAATGAAGCAATCTAAATTGTCATCTACTGTGGCCTCTGCTCTTGCTCACCTTTTAAGGCATTAGGTAAAGAGGCATGCCTATTTGACTATCTGAATCCAAAAAGAGTGGATTTAAACCATTTGACCTCTCATTACCAGCCACACAAGTGCCTGTCATTGCCTTAAAACTGATAGTCAGATAGGACTTAAGCTGTGCTGAAGGTCAGCTGAATAAAAAAATGACACATGACCATTCCTAGGAGCAGCTATTCCTTTTCTCTTATAGTTCTGGTGATGCAACAGTAAGTTCAGAAGTGTTCAGAAAGCTCTTTAGACTAGCACACAGACACAGGGGCACATCCACCACAGTAATATGGCCATACCTTCCTGGGCCTCTACCGCTTCTACTGTGGCTGTAAAGGGCAGGAGCAGTGGCATGCAAAAATGAAGACAGAGAAAGAGGGAGTAAATCAACGGTACTGCTGCCAGCACAGATGCCCCAGGGTCCCACCTGCCAGCCCCCCAACTCAGTAATGAAAGTTAGAGAAGCGAGAATTATTATGGCAAGTAACTAAAATGGGGAGTGGTGGCAGGGGGGGAAATTCCTGGCACTTTAACATTTCAGGTGGCGCTGGACTGTTGCTCTCTTTGTTTGGAATAGCTACCTGCTAGTTTATGTCCTGATACCACCCATCAAAATTACTTGTCAATCAGATAATTTAACACCACATGGGTTTGTTTATAATTGCTTGGAGACTATCAAACCAGCTACTGATGGGTCCATTTTAAAATCTCATTTAATTCTGCTTCTTAGTGCTCTGAAATGACTTGTGTGAGGTTCAACTCTCCTTAACCACTTAATTAAAACATTTGGACTGAGAAAAAAATGGGTTACAAGTGAGAGGCCATTTCTGGCCTGGAGGTGGACTATCTGTCAGACATTGATTTGAACCCAAATTCATGTACCCTTTAGACACTAACACAACTCATATCTTTTGTTCCTTGTGCAGGGGAGCAGACCAATTTGAAGAAAGCCCTCTTCTCCCAACAGGAGAAAATTAGCACCAACAGGTAAACTGCCTTGTGCCTTTGTTAGTTAAAACCATAATACATGAAAAGGTTTGAGTACAGCAAGAAAGATTCTGTTAGAATCCTGCCAACTCCTTCAATAGAAATTTTCTTAAATTAGGAAAGGATACTGAGCATCTAAGAAAGGGGAAAACTGCCAAGTTAATGAACTTCCTAAGGCAATGTGAAAGTGGGTAGCTGGAATTGACTCATCAAGTGCTCAGACCTGCCCATGTCTGAAGGCGTGTGGACACACTGCCGCACCTCTAATCTCAGACGCACCTGATGAAGTGTTTCCTCACATGGCAGGCATTACCCATGCAACTGTCAGGAAGTGGGAGCCAAAAGCCAATTAATTTTCAATTTGTGTAGCAAATGTTTACCAGTATTACATTTTGGGGACCCTAGGAGGGTCTCTCTTCTCTCTGTCTCTTTCTCTCTCTCTACCTATCTATATATATTTATTTTATGTGTATGAGTATAGTGCCTGCATGTATGTAAGTGCACCCATGTCATGCAATGACCGAGGAAATCAGAAAAGAGCATTAGAACCCCTGGAACTGGAGTTATAGACAGTTGTTAGCCACCATGTGGGTGCTGGGACTCAAACCCAGGTCCTCTGCAAGCCCAGTCAATGCTCTAAACCGCTGAACCCTCTTTCCAGCCCTCTAGAATTGCTTTTTAAAAAATTTACTTATTATTTTATTTTATGTGTATGAGTGTTTTGTCTGCATGTATGTAAGTGTACCATGTGCATGTAATGCCCAAAGAGGCCAGAAGAGGGTGTCAGATCCCCTGGAACTGGAGTTAGACGTTGCTAGCCACCACATGGGTACTGGGACTCAAACCCAGGTCTTCTGGAAGTGTTCTTAATCACTAAGAAATCTCTCTAGCCCCAGAATTTTTTTTTTTTTTTTTTTTTTGAGACAGGAGCTCACTATGTAGCCCTGGCTGGCCCAAGGCTTGCTATGTAGACCAACCAGGCTGTCCTCAAACTACAGGAGATCCACCTGCCTCTGTCTCCCAAATGCTGGAACTAATGGTACTACAGGCATGCACAACCATACCTGATTAAGCCAATAGCTTTCATATATTTATAGCTGTATGACTATCACAATATTCATTCAAAACATTTTCATCGTCCCTCAAAGAAACTCTCTACTCATTGGCAGTTACTTCCCATTTCCCTTCCTCATCTCTTCCTATTAACCTTAGTCAACCAAAATCTACTTCCTAGTCCTGTAAATTTGAAAATGCCATGTAGGAGGAATCATGTAAGATGGCATTAGTGACAGCTTTCACTTCACAATATGTTCAATGTTCACGCATCAACTTCTTACTTTTTATGGCTGCAAAGAATCCTGTTTCTATACCTTTTTCTGGTTGTTGTTTTATCCAGTGGATGAACAATGAAGTGGTACCTGCTTTGGCACTACGATAGAGAATGCCATTTGAGGCTATCATGAAGAACGTCACTTATGAGCATTTGTACACAAGCTTTTTTTTTTGTGTTTTTTTTGAGACAGGCTCTCTCTGTAGTCCCAGCTGGGGCCTGGAACTTGCTATGTAGATCAGGCTGTTCTTGAACTCACAGAGATCCACCTGCCTCTGCCTCTGCCTCCTGAGTGCTAGAATTAAAGGCGTGTGCTACCACGCCCGGCCTCTTTCATTTTCTAGATAGGATCATTATAGTGTAAGAGTTTTCTTTAATATTTTATTTATGATTTTTTATTTTATGCATGTGTGTATTGCCTGCATATATGTAAGTGCACCCATGTCATGCAATGCCCTCGGAAGTCAGAAGAAGGCATCAGATCCCCTGGAACTGGAGTTACAAATGGTTGTTAACCACCATGTGGGTGCTGGGAAGGGAATCTAGGTTCTCTGCAAGAGTAGTCAGTGCTCTTAACCACTGAATCATCTCTCTAGCCCTCGTAAGAGTTTTAAATTTTGATGTAGTCTAAATTTTTAAACTCATCTATTTTTATTTTAGTATATGAGTGTTTTCCTGCACATATGTAAGTACACCACATACGTGCAATGCCCAGGGAAGGGGGGTTAGGAGGGAGGGAAGAGGGGAGAGAATATGAGGGGGTGTTACAAGGAGGGTCCAGGGGAGTGAAGAAGGTTGAGTTGATGAAAATACATTGTATATGTGTATGAAGTTGACAAAGAATAAATTAAAGCTGTCATTAAAGTTTTTTTTTTTAACTGTACATTTATTTGAGGGACATTAAACCCCTCTATCTGAAAGCTCTTTTCTTTGAAACTAAACAAATTAAGAAAATAAATGAAGCTGGGCTTAGTGATACATGTTTATGGTCCCAGCTACTCAGGAGACTGAAGCAGGATGACTATTTTGGCTCCAAAGTTCAAGGTCAGCCTAGGCAATTCAACGAGGCTGTTTTGTTTTGTTTTGTTTTTTAAAAAAAGTAGAGACTATATACTTCCAAGGAGAAAATGTTTGGTCTTCCTTTTAAATAGCCGAGTTTTAATACTTAGTATTCAACTTGAAAGAGGAAGAGGAATTCAGTTCTCTTTAAGGTGGGGGAGGGGTACAGTGGGAGTTCCTACTAGCCAAACCAATGAAATTTCCACAAAAGAAAAAGAATTCCTCTAAATGTTAGGCTAATAAAAGGAGGGAAATGGACAAACAACTTAATGGAATGGGAACAAAAGCAGCGCAGCAGAGCTACTGGGTGTGGCGGTGCAGGCCTAAGCCCCAGTGCTCAATCCCAGCATTCGGGAGTTGGAGGCCAGCTGGGGCTACATAGTAAGTTTCAGGTTAGTCCGGATAACAAAGTGAAACCTGGCCTCAAAAACTGAACAACAATAAGAAAAAGCAGTGAAAGTTTAAGATAGTAGTATTTTATTCCCACACCAGTTTTCATGTCTAGAATTAGTTCTGATAACGTGATCTGTCTCTTCTTCCCATTTGACCACATCTACATTCTGACAGAAGCTAATCTTTTCACTGCAGAATTTCATAAAGCAATCTGCCTAGAAGCCAGTTCTGGGCAGTTTTTGGGCCACTGACAGAAGTGACATGACACTGGAGAAGAGCAGGACTGCAAGCAGAGGCAAGCACCCTCTCTGACTGAGAAACCCTTCAGGTGAGTCTCCTTAAGGACTGAAAGATATCATGATGTGTGTGGCATGTACCCAAATCTGAAGAATACAGCTCAATTCCACCCCCTCCCCCCCTTTTTTTTTTTTCTTCTTTTTTTTCCCTTTTGAGACAAGTTCTTAGTATACAGCCCTGGCTGGCTTGGAATTCACAGAGATTCCTTGACTCTGCCTATCTGGTGTTGGGAGTAGAGGTGTGTGTCACCACAGCCCACTTCAATTCCTTTTAATATGTATTTACACACATATAACTGCTTCTTAGATAATGATATGGAACATTCCCAACACTCCTGAAGGCCATGTGCCCTCTGGGTCAATATTCTCTGAACAGAAGAAGCACTGTTTTGTCTTCTTGTTCTTTTGTATATTTTATATGTATAAGGTGTTCTGCATGCACGTATTTGCACCACATGCACGCAGTGCCCACAGAGGCCAGAAGAGGGCATCAGATGTCCTGGAACTGGAGTTACACATGGTTGTTAGCTGCCACATGGGGCTGGGAACTGAACTTGGGTCCTCTGCAAGAAGAGCAGAGCAGCCAGTGCTCTTAACCCCTAAGCATTTCTCCAGCCTCTGCTTGTTCTTAAACATATATATCAGTCTTTGCTCTTTTGTGAATGTCATTTAAAATTTGATTTATTTATTGAAACCAGGTCTATGTACATCCAGACTAGCCTTGAATTTGCAATCCTCCTGCCTGTACTTCCTGAGTGCTGGGCTATTCCATGTTCAGATGGCATTTTAAATTTGCTACATCATATGGGAAACTCAATCATGTTGTTGCATGTACCTATAATGCTACTTTTTATGGGTGAAAAAATAGTTCATTATATCAATATTATGCAGTTTATTCTACTATCAATGGAGATAGGAGCTACTTCCAGTTTGGTATTATTATGAATAAAGTTAAAAAATCCTTATGGACATGGATATCCTTGGTGTAGAACTGCAATGTTATGGGATACAAATGTGTTTAGCTTTACTGTCTGGCCAAGTAATTCAGCCAGTGTATAAGCCCACCAGCATATATCTACTTCTAGTTCTCCATAGACACACCAATACTTAATACTGCCAGATTTAAAAATTCTAGCCATTCTTGTGGGCATGTGGTAACATTTCATTGTAGTTTAACATTCATTTTTTCAGACGAATAACTATACTAAGCATTGTCTCAGATGTTTACTGGCTGTATTGAAATCCTCTTCAGTGAAGTAACCGTTACAATCATTTGATTACATTTTCTTTTTTTCTTATTTGTAGTTCTTTATTCTGAAACAAGGCATTTGTCAGGCATAGGTACTCCAAAAAACTCTGCAGCTTGTCTTTTTTATTAAACTTTTTTTTTTTTAAATTAATGTGTATGTGTCTGTGTAAATATATGCCACATGGATGCAGGTGTCTAGAGGCCAGAAGAGGATGTCAGATCCCTCTGGAGCTGGAGCTATAGGCAGCTGTAAGCCACTAGATGTGGGTGCTGGGAACCAAATTTAGGTCCTCTAAAGAGCAGCAAATGCCCCTAACCAATGATCTGTCTCTCCAGACCTCACATGGCTTGCCTTGTCCTTCTCTTAACTGTGAATTTTATTAAAAGGGCATAATTTTAATGAAATTTCTTTTCTTTTAAGGCCAGTTCTCTCTCTTTTACTTACAGACTCTTTGCCTACCCCACTTGCTGCAATTTTCTGCGAGTTTGTTTTACCTTTTGCATTTAAATTATAATCCACTTTGAATTGATTTTTGTGTGTAGAGGGAAAAGGGTCACGATTCATCTTTCTCTAGATAGATATCCAATTGCTCTAAGCACCAGGTACTAAAAGAAGCCCCTGGCAGGGCGTGGTGGCGCACGCCTTTAATCCCAGCACTTGGGAGGCAGAGGCAGGCGGATCTTTGTGAGTTTGAGGCCAGCCTGGTCTACATAGCAAGTTCCAGGACAGCTGGGGCTACAGGGAGACCCTGTCTCAAAAAGACAAAAAAGAAAAAAAAAATGCCCCTGACTGCTGGTCATGGGGTACACCTTCCAGGAGAGGCCTCCTCATACTCACCAGTCTCAATGGTCTGCTTGCCTCCAGAGAGGACCCCCAAGGGGAGTGTGCCTGTGGGAGTGAGGCCCTTGAGAGTCAGCACACTCTCACTCTCTTCCCTGCAAAGAAACATGGAAGCCCTAGTTAGTGCCAGGGAGCCACGGCACAGCAAGCAATGACACCCGAAGGAAGATGGCAGAAAGGCAGAGACAAAGACAGGTCCCACCTTCATCTGACCCAGGTGTTCGGTAAACATTTCAGTTTGAAACAATGAGCCAGTCCTTTTTTTAAAACTGGAGGCACTGGTAGCTGGGTACTGTTTCCTACACATTATCCCATTTGACCTACCTGACAATCTGTGAGCTGTGTCCTGTTATTATCTCTCGTTTACAGACAAGGAAACTAAAACCCAGAGATTAAACCAAGACCACACAGCTAAGGAAAACCAGAATCTGAGCATGGGGAACCTGGCTCCGAAATCCACACTAAACTTCTACAATCACTACATCTAAGTCAGTATAAAACGAGCATTTTCCAGAGCACTATTAACTTTTACATGTAAGTCTGCGTGTAGCCGGAAGACCTACACTTAACCAGAAGACTTGCAGTTCTGACGCCAAACTGCAACCCTAAAACATTACTCTAAAGTCAACTTCTAACCTACTTTCCGAATGTCTTCATCCCACAGTGTAATGACAGACAGATCCTTACCGAAGAATTGAAAAGACCCGTGCCATCTTCCCAATGGCTCTGATTTTATTCTTGATGACCTCTTTTCGAACTGAAGTGCCTCCTTAGAGAATACAAAGAACAAGTGGGTTAAAAAGGTGTGGTGACAGGCTGGCCTAAAAAATGCAAGATGAAGTATCTGGTATTTAAATTAAAGAAAAACATTTTTAAAAGAATCAAGGATTCTTTAATTTTTAAACAAACAAACAAACACCTCAGGAAATTCTAAGGAGCAAGAGAAAAAGGTGAAGTAAAGAATGAAGGGGTCACAAAAAGATCAAGGAGCAGGAGCTTCTGTGGTTCTGAACACAGAGAAAAACGTGACAGAAACAAGCTTCACAAAGACAGCTGCTACAAACAAAGATCTCTGTTGAGAACTGTGGACCACCTTAGGATGCAGGGTTTGGTCTGCCAAAGGGCAAGTGAGCATGGGAGCAACTGTCTTCCCACTCAGCACAAGCTCTCCTGAACTCTGTGAGAACTGCTTTCCATCTATAATTTTCAGTTCTTCATACCAGCAAGTTATTTCTTCAGAATACTACTGACGACATGTAGTACAGGTTACAAGAATGGGCAGCTATTTTAAAAAGCAACACTGAAAAGCTCATGCAAGACCTTATGGCCTTTTCTTATCTAAGATTTAGGAAACAGCCCAAACACAAGAAGGGAAGACTGAGGTATGCACCCAGTAGCCACATCCAAAAGTCAGAACAAGACACCGGCTTTTCTTCCTCTCTCCCATCTCTCAGTCCTGCTGGACCAAGCAACAGGCCGACGGAAAACACAGCCATGCCCACTGAGGGAGGATGGAAAGTCGTGTAAACCTGCTCAAATACCAGTTCAAAGCATCTAACCAGTCAATGGTGACAGGACAGACAGTGAGAATTTAGCTCATAGCACATTTCAGTTGGATACCTTTCGGATAGCTTGAAATGTAGTTATCTTCAGGGAGAAGAGACACCAAGACACAAGGAGATGAAGACAGACACATGAGAAGAGGATGCACGTATACATGGAAGAGAAAAAAAAACAAGTGAAATGCATGGGGAGGAGCAGGTGTCATTTCACCAGCTCAGAGACGCCTGGTCCCTGAGAAAGTTAAATGCAGATTCTTTTCTCAGTCATTTCTTCAAATCCGTAATGGTTTAACATTTTATATTAATTCCCATCTATCATTATCCAGCTCCTCCCACCCCCATCATGAAAGTAACACCAAACAAAAGATATCTTTTGTAGAGCCAAACAAGCAACAAAACAACGGGCAAGAACAATTTACAACTCTCAGTCAAACAGTATGCTTTTGTTTACTGGACTCCACAGCATTATCTTATTTTTCAAGAGATATTTTCCTTTTCAAAAGATTTAAGCCTTCAGAATTTCAACCTCATTCAAGCTGCTTTCTGAAGTTGGCTTATGAAGACTTTGGAGTCTGAAAATCCTTGTTGGTTGGCTCATGATTTAGGAGCAGGGGATAGAAGCCTGGCATGGTGGCACACACCTGTAAGCCTTTAATCCCAACACTCCAGAGGCAGAGGTGGGAGCTGGAAACTTGACTCTGAGCTTTACCTGGCAGGCCTGTTATGAAATGTACAGTGTGCATTTGGTCACTTACTTCATTGTATTGCCAATCCAGAACACATCGGTTTTAGAGATCAGCCTCCAGATATGGAGAAGAAGCAGGTGCCCAGTGGCAAGTAGGCTTTTAACTGCCTTTCAAAGGGTTCTCGCCTAATCCATTTAGGTAAGCCCAATGTCCCTGCCCTCGCCTCAGCTCAGTTCTAGAAACTGGTACTGAAACTCACCATTCCCTACTACTAAACTGGGCCTCAGCCTTCTCAACTTGTTCTAATTTGTCTCCCCCAACGCTGCCCTCTTTGATGCATTTTTTCCTCAGCTTACAAAAGTTCTACTTCCCCACATGTGTAGGTATGTTAACTTTCACTTTTTAAATTGAGAAGTATAATGAACAGAGGAAAGTGTATGTGTTAGTCTTTTGTCAAGTTGACACAAACAAGAAACATCTAGGACAAGGAGACATCAACTGAGGAATTTCCTGTTAGACTGGCCTATGGGCATATCTATGGGGTATTTTCCTAATTGTTGATTGATGCGGGAGGGCCCAGCCCACTGGGGGTGGTATCGTCCTTAGGCAGAAGGCCCAAGTTACATAAGAAACTTTTGCTGAGCAAGCCAGTGAGCAGCATTCCTCCATGGTCTCTGCTTAAGTTTCTGCCCCCAGAATCCTGTCTTGACTTCCCTCCATGATGGACTGTGAGCTGTAAGTCAAATAAACCCCAGGTTGTGTTTGGCCAATGTTTTATCACAGCAATAGAAAGCAAAATAGAACAGTATACGATGCAAATATGTATCTCAATGATTTTTTAAGAAGCAAACACTGTAAAACCACTCACTCAAGGCAATAAACAGAATGTTGCCAAAACCCAATTGAGTATCTCTTAGCATGCAGTCTCTTACTCCTAGTTTTACTGGAATCCTTTTCCTTACTGTTATTTATAATTTTACCATGTCGGCATGTATTTATATGTACTAGAGTTTTCACTGTTTTGTTTTTTAAATTATCACATTTACTTATGTATTTATTTACTTAAAGTATGTGTGTGCATGTACAAGGAAGTGGAGGTCAGAGGACAACTTGTCAGGAGTGCACCTCTCCTACCCTCTGGGTGCCAGGGATTGCACTAGCAGAAAGCGCCTTAACACTTAACACACTGAGTCATCTCAACAGCCCAGTTTTCACTCGTTTTTGTTGTTGTTTTGAATTTTTTTATATTTTATTTATTATTTTTATTTTATGAGTGTTTTGCCTGCAGGTATGGAAGTACAATCATGTCATACAATACCCATGTATACCCTCTGAAGAGGATGTCAGATCCCTTGGAACTGGAGTTGCAGGGGTTGTTAGTCATTACGTGGGTGCTGAAAACCGAACCCAGGTCCTCTGCAAGAGCAGTCAGTGCTCAAGTACTGAGTATCTCTCCAGCCCCCCCCTCCCAATTTATCATTTTGACTGCAGTAAACATTTGGGTTGGTTCTAATCTTTGGCTACTACACGCAGGCTTCTGTGAGTAATCCTATACATCTGTTTTTGCAGCACGTGTACACATATTTCTGGTAAGTATGTTCTTAGGTTATGTATATGTTTAACTCTGGATAACAGTTTAACATTGCCTTTTTTTTTTTTAAAGTCTTTTTGAGACAGGGTCTCCCTGTAGCCCCAGTTGGCCTGGAACTTGCTATGTAGACCAGGCTGGACTTGAACTCACAGAGACCTGCCTGCCTCTGCCTCCCAAGTGCTGGGACTACAGAGGTGTGCCACCATGCCTGGATCTATCAATTTATACTTCTGTATATGAGCATTCCTATTACTACACATGCTAACACCAGCGATATGGTTCATTTTTAATTTTAGCTAATCTAGTAAGTAGGTAGCATTATCTCATTGGGATTTTAATTTGTATTCTCATAATTATTAATATGGTTGAGTATCTTTTCATATTTTTGTTAGCTATTTGGAAATCCTCTTTTCTGACATTACCTGTTCATACCTGATCATCTTAATCTGTGGCAATTTAATCTTCTGCAAATAGGCCTGTTGGTTGTGCTGCAAACATCCTGCCTGTTCTACTCTGCCAGGTTTTCACATGCTTTGAACAACACAAGCTCTTACTTTTAATGTTACCCAATTTATTAATCATTTTCTGAATGGCTGGTGCATTTTGTGTCCTGTTTAAAGGCTTTTTTTCCACAGCAAGGTCATGAAGATAATTTTATATTACAAATACTACAAATTTTGTTTACATTTCAATTTTTTTTAAATTTTGCTATTTGTTGAGATAGGGACTCTCTATGTAGCACAGGTTAACCATGAACTCACTATGTAGGCCAGGCTGGTCTTGACTTAGGATGCTAAATGCTGGATGACAGGTACGCATCACCGTCTTCCTTTTGTCTGCCTGTTGCTGTGATGGTGGTAGCGCTGGAGGAGCCCAGGACTTTACACTTGCTAGGCAAGTACTCTACCACTGAGCTACATCCTCAGCCCCTTTGTCTTTCATATTTGAATGAAATACAAATACACAAAAACAAATTCCAGGTGGATTTAATTTTTTTCAAAAGTGGGCATCCATTATTGCCACTATTTTCTTACTGGTCTACAATGCCATCTCTGCTATAAATCAAGTGTCCATACACATAGCTCTATTCTGCATTCTCTATTCTGTTTCAGTGCTTGTCTATCCTTGAATTAATACTTTTAATTGCTATAGTACTTTATAGTATATCTCAACACTTATAAGGGCAAGCCCTTCAATGTTATTCTTTAAGACTTAGGCTATTTCCTATAAAGTTTAGAATCAGTCCTTTGCATTGCCATATCAAGGTTAGGTGGATCCTGTTTTTCCCCAGCCCACTGGCCCCTGCACTGTAGCAATAAACCTGTTTCTTAAAATACTGTTAAATGTCCCAGCACTCAGGAGGCAGAGGCAGGCGGTTCTTTGTGAGTTCAAGGCCAGCCTGGTCTACATAGTGAGTTCCAGGACAGCTGGGGCTACAGGGAGACCCTGTCTCAAAAAGACAAAAAAAAAATTATATTAAAAAAATATTTTTCTTATTGCCTAACCTAGAAATTATACCATGCACCTGTAACCTATCAAAGTATAATGTAAGGGAGGGGGTACAACTCAGTAGAGCATTTACTTATCTTGTAAGAGGCCCTGGATTTGATCCTCAAAACTAAAAAAAAAAAAAAGAACAATGTGATGGGCCCATTCTTCTTCTTCCCAAATAATACAAAGTCCTCAAGCACTATATTCATCCTGCTAGTGTTACCACATATTCTAATTATTCAATTCCAACAAAATACATATTCATTTGGTTTATGCACATATTTTCTAATTTTTATTCCTTCCTGGATTCCCAAAATTTTTTCTAGTATTTTCCTTCTCCTTAAATATCCCTTTGAATTTCGTTTACTATGTACTTTCTTTAAATTCTCTTAGTAAAAATGTTAAGGGATAGGGTGGTGTCTGCAATGCCATTTCCCCTTATGATCCTCCTTATTGGGTACTAACTTTCAGCACCTTGAACATGTCATCCATGTTTTTCTTGCTTCCACTGTTTCAATGAGGAGCCTGTCAGTTTGGTTTTCTTTTAGGAGTAATCTCTGCTTTTGCTCGCTGCCCTCAGTTCTTTGACTTTCACTTTGGCTACTTTTACTGAGTGGTTGTGTGTTGTTTTCTTTGCATTGCCCCTGCTCTGTGTTACAGGGTTCTTCAGGTGGAGCTCGATGTCCCATCAGTTCTCAGAATTCTTTCATCTGTGTCTTTTCAAATATTGCCTCTATCCTGTTTTCTCTGCTTTTTCCTTTGGCACACCAAACATGCGTGTGCTGGAACCACCTGTGCCACATGTGCTGTGCTCCTTATGCTGCTTTTGCACTTTCCTTTTGGTTTTCTCTTCACGCTTCAGATCGTTTCTTCTGACCTCTCTGCCAGGTCGCTTATTCTATATTTAGCTTGGTCAAATCTGTGGCTAATTTGTTATTTTCCAGTCCTAGAATTCCACTTTTGATACTTTATAAAATCTGCTCCATTCTCTTTCATAATTCACAGTTTTTGCTTACATTCTCAACCTAGTCTTCTATGTCCTTGAACAAAGTAGGGTTTTTTGGTTTTGGTTTGTGTGTTTGTGTGTGTGTGTGTGTAGTTATTTTAAAGTTTGATCTGATAATGCCAGTGTCTGCGGAACCTGGTGGGTCTGCTTTTAATTTTTGCTGTTTCTGAAAATTCTTTAAAATTTTTTTTATTTCATTTATTGTGATGATAATGATGATGACAACGACGATGACACAGCATGTGTGTGTAATGGGGAAGGGGCTCATGTCACCGTGTGAGCGTAGTGATCAGAAAACAACTCTGCGGGAG